AACCTGGTATTTTTACAAGACCCTTGTTTTTTCTTTTCCTGCAATGTTATATCTCCCCCACCATTACCTCCATGCACAACTCAAAGCCCAAAGCAAACAGAACTGTGTGATATAAATATGATCTTGAACTTGCAGTTTTACAGAATGCCAAATCAGTGATTTCAGAGCTCAAACCTAACAGGCTGCATCCCTTCAAGTCTAAATTCTGGAGCAGCAATTCCTCTCCCTCCATCCTGTGACAGTGGAGAAGCACAGCACACGCAAGGCTCACCAACTCTTAGTGGTTTTTCAAGTGAAAACAGGTTGTGACAACAATTTGTAACAACTTCAGGGAAATCTTTTTCTAGCTAAGGGTCAAGGCTCTTAAACATATTTGGCAGGCTGTGGCCATATGTTAACAACTGTGTCAGTACTGTTCTTAATGTGAAGAAATAATATGATAGGCTGTATGAAACAGCTGTGAGTCATATATAGCCTTTTAGGATATAGAGGTTCCCAACCCTGAGCTATAGAAACCAACCTCAGTTAGGGGAAAATAAAACCTAAATTAAGTCAGATAATGATTTGTTAATCTCTGAGTTTCATGTTAAGAAAAACTATTATCAATGCAAAAATAGTCAAATAAGACTTTTTTTTTTTTTTCAACCAGCACCTCCACAGAAAGAAGTTTAAAATTATCATCCTCTACCTACTACTCATTCTTACCAACATCAAGAGATCAACATGGAGGCAGCCTGCAAAACCAGAAGTAACAGTGTATTTAAGATGCTACATTCCTCCATTCCTCCCTGGGTGTTTGTGCATGTGTTTGCAGGAGAGAGTTGAGGGAGGCATCAGTGAGCAACACTGCAAGTCAGATACCAAACAGCTCTACCAACATACATTTTATTAGCTTGCAAAAGCAGAGAAAATAAACTTTTGCCTTAACTCCAGTTTTCCAATAAATGTCAAAACCAAGTGCATTTTATCTCGTTTATAAGGTGAGTCATTAGAAGAAAAACAGAAAAAGAAAATGGTGAAAAGGTTTTGCTACCAGGTGACTTCCCATTTCACACATTAGAAGTCTTCAGAAACCTGCAGGTTTTGAAGCATTAAACAGACTGATTTAACAGACAGAGGTGAGGAAAGCAGGAACACGTGCCATTTACCACTTAGCTTCATACGTATCTGCCAGATCTTCTTAATAAAGCAGCACAACATTCCAAGTTAGTACTTTTTTCTTTTTGTTTGTTTTGTATGCAGGGCAGGGAAGCGGGAGTACAGAAAGCTCTGCTCAGTGCAGCAGATAAATTACTATGGAAAGGAAGGAGAGAAGCTGAGAGAAGCTAAGAGAACACTGCTTCCTACAGGTAGGGAATCCAAAACCAGTTAACTGCCCATCGTTCACACCAATGAAGTGCACTCAGCACTACACAGCTCCCACTCGTGATACTGGAGCATAAAAATTTCCCAGTGTTAATGATGGTGCCTGAATGTTGTGTTTGAAGCCATTATACCACAGCCAACTCATAAAATGCAAATCTAGTAACTGGTCCTAGCTTGCTGCTCTATTTGTAAAGCACACATTAAACTTACAGGTACTTTCACATCTGACAAAAATTAAAAGTGCTCTTTTAAAAACACAGAGTGTTTTTATCTTTACAAGTCATCTAGAAGACTGCATTGTCAAATGAAGAGTTTCTTTCTGAATATTTACTGCCTGTGTTAATGGCTACTTGACACAGGTCCAACAGCACTGACCTCTTAGTGGTTTGTCTCCTCCTGTGCTGCATGCTAGTCAATCTCCTGAGAAGATGACAAATGCCTGACGAGGAAAATGGCTTTCCAGACCACTACTGGCAACGCTCTTCTCTGCAAGCCATCCTTGTCATTCACTATCCTCAGCTGCCAGAGGGAATGGCACAACATTCCATGAAATCCATTTGCCTGCACACGTGCAAAGAGTGGGCTTTCTCTTGACGCCTGCAGTCAGACTTCTGAAAAGCCAAGAGACTGATGTGTATGAAGTCTAAAGCAGGCACGGTCTCCTCACTTCACAACTGAAGATCACAACTAAGAGCCTTTCTCAAATGTACACAGGTTAGCTGAACTTGAGCTGCCAAGAAAGGCCTTCCCCATCACCCTGTCAATTTGTTAGACCGCCCCAGGTCTTGACATAACTGATTAACAGTTCAAAAGAGAACCATGACAGCTAAGCCCCCTGCCAACTCTACAAGTGTGCATACACATACACTCAGGAAAAACAGTCCCCAGTCTTTTCTTACAGACAAGACTCTCATTAACAAGAATGAGAGTCAACACAAAACACGGCATTGTCAAAATCCTACAGTTTAAGTAATTTTTAAGCCCACCTTCAAGTGAAGAACTTGCTCCCTGTTGTGACTAACAGTAGCTACAAATACAAGAAAGGCTATTTTGCATTATTACAAAGAACAAACTTGAAACCATAAGGTTTACACTTTGCTGTAAAAGCATCTGATTAAAATGCTCTGATTATATGTAATTACGATTGCAAGGATCTTTTTTTCAAAACAAAGGTAAGAACAGATCTAATACACCTACTAAAAACCTTCAGGGAAGAGCAAAATCTTAGCCCCAAGTACCCTAAGGTACTTAATGATCACGTACCCCAGACCCCAATTCTCAAGTACTTCTAAAGGAATCACTCACAGAAGAACCAGCCCCAGAACTTAACTGTTCTCCTCAGTGCTGAGCTAAATCAAGGACAATTCCAGTATCTGACATCCACTAAGAAAATATCAGAGAAACAACATTATTTCGGAAAGCTGCAGATTTTAAGGTATTCTGTATTTCACAGTATAACCTGGTGTTTTCATCCAAAGAAGATCCTCCAGCTGTGCAGAATTTGGGCAAACACTCCTCTCCCTTGCCTTTGCACACATGATGCTCCCAATGAGCTACTTAATGGCCTGCCTTGGCACACCCAATAGACAGAACTTATTACGGGCCTCTTATCTGCTCCCAGTAACTAAGTGCTGATTTTAACAGTCTTCTCCAGCTGTCAGAAAGCCACAGAGATTATATAATGTTTGGCCACCCTCTGGAGACAAACAGAGCAGGCATAACAAAATTTATCACCCTTGCGTGTCTGATGATTTATTAAATTGCAATCAACATCAATGACTTCAGCATTCATTTTGGATTTTTCCTACATACGAGCTTGCAGTTTCCAAGTGATACTCTGATGGCAAACCCAAATAAATTCAAGCTGACAGCACAACAGACCACATACTGAAGCAGCTCACTGTTGATGGACTTTCCATACATCTTCAGAACCTAAAAGTTCCAAATGGCACTGACTGTAAGTAGATGTTAAGAACTATCCTGGATGAATCTTGTCTTACGATGCTATCCTCTGTGTCAAAAAGCCTGCTGTGCCCACCACACCATCCACCAGCCCTGTGTGCAAATGCTTCAGGAAATTAAGGAAGCCCCTAGCAATTTCATTACTGAACTAAGTATAAATTCCTGTAAGTTTTTTTCTACTTTTTTAAATGAAGACACGTTGCAAATCACACCACAACTTCGCCCGCCTTTATCCAGGTAGGCATTTCTTAACTTAGTTTAATATGGCACTCCAACAGAAAACTTACCATGAGCTACCAAGAGAAATCAGGATGGTAAGGAGCCAAACAGTGGTTCACCAGGGCCAACACAGATGACTTACTGACTGCAGTTTTCAGAATCCACGACACATTGCAGGGAAAAAAAAGTGACCCGCTTAAGAACTTTTCCATTTTTAACTCTGAACACTCAGGGAATGTGCTAAGGAAACAATCATCCCACTGAATCATTTCAAGAATTTTACAGCCAAGATGATTTATTACTGTAAAACAGGTCTTGGAAAGAAGAATATTTGAAGAGACTCAATAACTATTAAATCAGTGTGGAAAACATGACGCTGGAGGAATTGCATATGCCTGACACATGTTCTACCCCTTTTTCTTTTAATCTTTCTTTTCCTTTTAAATAGAAAGTGCCTCTAAAAAGACAGCCTGTAGAAATGCCTACTCTCTTAGACAAAAAAGAGATAGTAAAATTACATTCACATGACTAATAGAAAAATAATGAAGAACCCACGAGACTGTTTGACAAATAGAAGGCATCAACAGTATCAAAATCTACAGTTAAAAACATACTCATCCCTTACTGAAAAAGCTGAGATGCTTTTGCAGACAGATCATTTGACTCAACAATACGCAGAAAACCTCATGCAATCTTTTAATGACCCACTTGTTAAGCCATCACGAAAACAAAATCAGAATAATACTAGGTTTTTTATTACAACTGCTGTGTAGATGTTTTTATCACATAGCACATGGTCTGTTCAAGACAGCTAAAAGCACACATCCCCAGCATCTACTACAAACGAGTCCGAAAGATGAGTTGTAAGGCTTGCCATCTGAAACACCACCAAAAAAATGTCTTCCTTCATTAACCAAAATGGAAGAAACTCCTGTGCTAAATTGCAAACACACACACACAGTACTCCAAATAAATGTTACCAATATATTCAGAAATATTAATCAATCTTAAAGTTTTAAATTTTCCTTACACCAGTTGGTACTATGGAGAACTTTACCACATTTTTGTGACCTCCAAACCCTTTCTCACCCTTCTTGCGTATCTGTAGGTTCCTCTGAACACTCAAGTTTTATCAGAAATGACTTAAGATGAAGTGTTTCCCCACAAACCTCTTCTCTTCACATTTTTTGGGCCATCGGGGCTCTAAGAAAAGCAATAATGAAATTGCAGGACACGATCCTGAGCAGTATCTTGACATAGAAATGAGAAACTATCTACTAAATGCATCTCACCCTTAGCCACAAGACTTGAAACCAGCTAACTCAAAACAGCTCTACAAAGCACGCGTACCTCGCTGACACAGTCAAAGAAAGAAGGAAAACTAATAGTCCTTTCAATTAAATATATGTTCTACGTATACGATCACACTAAGTAGTCTTTTTTGACTGACTTACTTTTTGAATTGTCCCTGGATGCTTGTATGACAACTCTGCCATCATTTCTTCCTCTGAAATACAAGAAAAAAATGAAACGCTGCTTTAAAAAAATTATTTGCTTGAAATGAAGTTTCTCATTATATTTTTAACTAATTCTAAAAGGTTACTGTTTGCTTTTTCTTAGTAATGGAAAAAAGTTGTGATGTACACCCAAATTTTTCCTGTTTGATAACCAGAACATTTCTGCTACATGAAACTGCTCTACCACGATGAACAGCAGAGTCTGCCTTGTGACATGTGCATAATGCCAAAGAACGTGGAGAATTCTCAACTCTATTTCAGAGTTGGCAAAAAAAAATTCCTCCTAGCCACAGATAAACTGACAGAAAAACACAAAGCAGCATTTATTTGCTCAAGGACAGCAACACAGCATCACCACACACCCTACGGCTGCCCCCAGTCCTGCTTCCAACATTTGCTCCAGTAAGATGGGGATTTTTCTTCAGTTTTGGTCATACTTGCTAAACTCAAGTTTCAGGCACTCTAAAGCACATCAATGGCCATTGAACATAAACAGTTTGGCCACTCTGTCCTCCTCTGTGCTTCAGATTCACATTCGTAAAAAGGAAAATTATGTTCATATCTTACTGGGAATTCACTGAAGTCTGTAAAGCATTTTGAACCAATCAATCAAGAAAAACCTCAAACACATAAAAAAGAATCTAAATAGAATTATGAAAGTATTGTCCTTAAACAGAATGCTCTAATGATACATTCTGTTTAGCCACGTAATTAATAAACCTTTAGCAAAGCCAGCAGAAGAATTCCTCATTTCCTTCCCATACCAACCAGTGACCTGGAAGAACTACTCAAAACCACCATGAGGAACTGGTTATGTTCGAGACAATGGAATAACTAGCAACAGAGGGATCGACTGGAAAATGAAGTCAATGACATTATGTCATTCAAGGTTAGCACTGTTAGCCTGCAAAGAGCAGTAACACGTAGGCACCAGTAAGGAGATGGAAAGAGAAGGACAACGGATAAACAGCAACTCTGTTAATCAGCAGGGATGACAGAGGGACAAGTAAAAAGACCTATCAAGCTGCTTAACTTCCCTTCACAGAAATGGATGTGGAGAAGGTGCAGCAATCACCACAGTCATCTGAGTCTGTTAGCTCTCATTCTGTCACACTGCTTTTCCCCAAGCCAATAAACGAAGTACAATCTTCAAAAACGTACAGTAAAATCAGATGGAAAAACAAACATGAAACATAAAACTATCAGTGGTTCACAACGGAGACCATACACTGATCTTAGCACAAGGAATTCAGCCTTCAGCATCAGCAATAAATAAATGATAGATCAGTGCATTTAGAAGGGTGTCTCATAAGTTCATCAAGCAACTACGTGTGAGAAATGTTTTCGGAATCCGGCCTGAATCATCTGAAGTTCTAAACTCTCATTGTAAAAAATGCATGCCTCACTAGGAGGTATGAAATTCTCTGAGCCCTTTAAAAGGGACATCATGAAATATTAAGCTGTTAAACTTAATGAAGCAACAATAGAGCTTTATGAAGAATGTTTTTCACTAATGACCTGGCCACTGGTTTTGTTACGCCTGTCTGTAAAACACACAGCCAATATTTGTGGTTTAAAAAAAAACAACACAAAACAAAACAAGAACAACAAAAAAAGACATTTCTGGTCTTAAAATGTTGATGCGACAGGAAAAAAAAAACCCCAAAAAAATAAACACCAAGTACAATGAAATGTACAAAGTCAAACCACACAAGTACAGATTTCATCCCACTCCTCCCAGTTTTAAATAGATGATCGTATTTTGGAGATGGGTGTGATTTTATCCAGCTATGCCTCCTCACAATTGGCAACTGCATTCCGTTCAGTGGCTTCTTATTCCAAATTCCAAACACTAGTTGAAAATAGATCTCACAATAGAGTCCTACAGCTGAATATACTCTAGGGGAAAACTATTTCCTTTAATTTATTTCAAACTCATTTGCATGACAGTATGTCATTAGTATGTACCAAAAAATATCCTATGAACAGAGGAAGAACTCCATGCCCACAATTTAAGTTCGCATCTCACAGTGGTCTATCATTAGTATTATTATCTAAGAAAAAGAACTGTCCACAGACAGCAACTACTCAGATATCACATGCTATCAACAGAAAACACCACAAACACCATTTCTTAGATACCCCAAATCTTCTGAATAGCTAAAAAGAGCCACACGGACAACCTGGCACAGGTAAAAATAACTGGGTGTGCTACAACACCATGCAAACAGCTCAAGCACAAAGGGAGGTCATCCCCCCTCACCGATTAATGAGAAATAAAGGAGAAGGAAAGGAAACACACATTCAATTTGTCACTCCATCATCAACCTCGTTGTCCTGGAAACACGTTCTGCAAGAGAAGTGGTACCTAACTACTAAAAACATTTTCTACCACTACTTTTTCCCTCCTTTCTGCAATGCTCTGTTTCATAAATAGCCAGCAACAAATATTTCTCATAAAACAGCATATAAAAATGCATCTCTTGCTCCTTGAAGAAAATATATCGTTCCACTTGAGCATGTGGTACTTACAGGAATACCAGGTCTGCATGAAGCCTTTGGAAAGAATTCTAATTTTGCTGTTGTTAGAATGACCTACTAACTGAACCTTTCACTTTGGGAACATGCAGTACTGGTAAAAGGTAATTGCTGATTTTAGAGCACCACATTTTTTCATGAGAGCAGAGCGAGAAATATGAAAGCATGCTCCATTTTCACAGTAAAAAAAAAAACAACAACAAAAGAAAACAAAAAAATACAATGCTGCCAGAAGGGCCCAAACCCTGCTTCTAGGTGGGAGAAAGTCCAAACATACAGCACATGGAACCCTGGTCAAGAAAAATATTTGCTGCATGGTCTCCCCTTCCCTTGACACAGACTGCTCCCTGCCCTACAATCAGCTTTTTCCTTCCATGCAACTTACCAGAAACAAAGCACCAAGGACCCAGGTCTGACTGGGTCAACATAATCCATCCTCCCAAATACTCCATGAGTAGTGTTGCACCACAGAGTCATCGAGTACACCGAGTTGGAAGGGACCCATGGGGATCATCAAGCAGCATCCAAGATCCAAATTCTACGGCTGAGTGAAATCTAAATGCTCCCTCAGCTCCAGGCTGTGCCCACCGCTCTCTGATGCAGAACCTTTCCCTAACCTGACCCCAAGCTGATTCCAGCTGGTACAGTTGCCCGGTTTTATTTTACAAGAATACAGAAAATTAATAAAAAGGTCTTGGGAGTCAGGCTCCCCATGAGACAAAAACATACTCCCTAACGTCCAACAGCCCAGCAGTTACATCAGAAGAAACCTATGTTTAGGCTTTAGCCAGACAGGTGAGACTGACTTCACGTCTTGTGACAGCACCTCAGCACCAGCTCTCAGAGTATTTGGGCTGAGAATCCTCTTCCTACATCTGCAGATGACCACGAGTGCAGCAATGCAGCAAGTAAAACCATCAAAAAATCTGTATATATCTTGATTGCACACATTAGGTTATAAAGTCAGTGTATGCATTCAACAGTGGGACAACCTTCCAACTTAAGTTCTGACAGTGTGTTACTGCATTACTGTCCACAAATAATAATTAAAAAAAAGATGTTAAGAGCAGAGTTTTGATGGCCTCCCATTTCCAAAAGAAAGCAGAGCAACCTAACGGACAAAGTGGGTATGGGGCTGGTAAATGTGGTCGGCAAGCTTTCTCACCATAGAATGGTTTGAGTTGGAAGGCACCTTTAAGATAGAATTCCGACCCCTGCTATAGCAGGGACACCTCTGATTAGACCAGGCTGCTCAAAGCCACCATCCAGCCTGGCCTTGAATGCTTCCAGGAAAGAAGTATTCTTAACCATATGCCTACTGTCCCTCCCTCAGAAATGGCCTCTGCATCACACTGATCTCTGGAAGATGCCCAAGTTCTGTGCTGAAGAGCACGAACTGATCCAGGATAAAACTGTGGTGTGCTGTCTGTTTTAAGTGATGAATTACCGTGTCTTGGTACCCAGAGCTGCCTGTGCCCTTGCTTTCTCAGTTTATAATGGTTCTTCTTTGGTACAGTTCTTTATGTTCTACTTCTAGAGAAGAAAACACATTTTCAACTTTCATATTAAACAAAAGCTGGTTTTAGAAATGCCACTTGTTTCAGATCTAAACTTTTAATTCCACATTCTTCTGTACATTAGTCTTGCTAGGCAGCCCAGCTGATACAACAGTTACATCACACCCAAGCAATAAGCTGGATCTGGCCTAACAGAACACAGAATCATTAAGGTTGGAAAAGACCACTGAGACCATCATCTAGTCCAACTCACCCCCACCATCCCCATTAACAACGCCCCTCAGTCCACACCCGGCCTTTCCCTGAACATCTCCAGGGATGGTGACTCCTCCACCTCCCCGGGCAGCCTGTGCCAATGCCTCGTCACTCTTCCTGAGAAGAAATGTTTCCTAACATCCAACCCAAACCTCCCCTGGCACGATTCAAAGCTGTTACCTCTCGTCCTATCAAACCACTGTAATAAATGTAATTATTTAAACAACTTCAAATTCTTACGTACAGAACTGTCTGTGTACTGAGTAAATTTTGCCTTTGATACTCTCAGTCACCCCACCCATGCATATTGTTTTCTAGTCAAATTCCAGAGTTTGTATTGCTCTTGAAGAGAAACACAATAATTCACTCCATTTTCAAACTGTCTGTTAATTACCAAAGTTATTTGGCAAGTCCAAAGGTGTTTAGGTCCTTCAAAAGACCTATGAATAAACACAGTCAGGTTCACCACTTCATTTAGTGCGATATCTACTGTTTATTATCAGTCTTTGGCAAGAAAGAGGCCTGCATTAATGCCACATATTACTCTTTTTGTATTTCAGATTTTATATTAAACCTACCTGATATGCCTGTATATAATTACTCAATTGTGTGTTCTTGTTTTAACTTCCAAATGACTTATTCAACACATTAAGGCAGATCTCTGCACTCCACTTCCCTTT